TGAGGCGTTTCCCCTCATGGTCAGACACATCCTGTGCTGTTTAATAGAGCATCATCACTGCTGAAGTCAACATGTCATATATATATAACCAAGCCGAACTAATGTACTTTACCAGTGTTGGACACACACACACACACACACACACACACACACACACAAACACACACACATATGTCCCGCTGACACACTTTGTCAATAAGTGGCACAAAGTGAAAATAAAGACGTGTTTTTAAGTGACAGGAACACACACCTTGATGAACACTACATACACACACACACACACACACACACACACACACTGATTCGGTAAAAGATCAACAGCTCCACATGCAGATCAGCAGCAGAGTGTCAGTCGCACACTGTCAGTGGTCAGATTTGGCTCACACACCTGCTAGATTGATGCCAGTAATGTGGTGTGCTCTTCATAATGCAGTGAGGCGTGTGTGTTTGTGTGTGTGTGTGTGTGTGTGTGTGTGTGTGCGCGTGCGCGCGTGCGCGTGCGGTTCTGTGGTGTACTAACTCTTCTGTCCTCAGGCCATCGGAGCCACCTTCGCTGCGCTGATCGGCGCTGGTGTTCTGGTCAGATCTGTCTCGTATGAGCACAGCCCCGTTGCGAAACACCTGTCCTGGGCTCTCTATGCAGGTACACACACACACACACACACACACACACCTGCTGGAGGCAGAGAGTAATCAGGATCTGCTGCTTTATAATAAACAGTCTGCCTCATGGCCACTAGAGTGCGCTGTAGTCTGTGTGTGCAGCGTCTGCTGATGTTTGAGCTGTTTTGTTCTCTCTCTCTGTGTGTGTGTGTGTGTGTGTGTGTGTGTGTGTGTGTGTGTGTGTGGGTGCGCGCAGGTGTGTTTGGGGCGGTGGTGGCCCCGTTGACTCTGCTCGGGGGTCCGCTGATGCTGAGGGCCGTGTGGTGCACTGCAGGTGTGGTGGGCGGTCTGTCGACGGTGGCCGTGTGCGCTCCGAGCGAACGCTTCCTCAACATGGGCGGCCCGCTGGCGGTGGGTCTCGGCCTGGTGCTGGCATCCACGCTGGGTAAGATGTGTGTGTGTTTACATGCTGTGTGTGTGTGTGTGTGTGTGTGTGTGTGTGTGTGTTCAGCTGATGGACTCTGTTCTCCGCAGGCTCCATGTTCCTGCCCCCCTCCACTGCTGTGGGCGCGGGGCTGTACTCGGTGTCGGTGTACGGCGG